GCAGCACAGGAAAATATGGATGTCTTTAAGGATATGTGGGAAAAACAAGTAAAGATATTGACTGAAGCTGTAGATGATATCACTACAATAGATGACTTCTTAGCAGTGTCAGGTGAATACTTTTATATCTCAAATACAAAAACCAACAGATTACCATTTGTTTAAATGGAGTTCTAACATTTTAAAACTCTTTGTTAATGGTAATTTATTTTTGTTTTTGCTGAGTGTCTGAAACTTTATAATGATGCTTGAATGCTATACATTGTAGAATACTGGTAGCTATCATCTATCATTACACTTCTCTAAATATGGTTTTACTGTATGAGTGTTAAAAATATAATTTGTGTTAATTTCTTCTGTATGTATTTCTTTGATTTCAGAGGGGCATATCTTGGAAGATGTCAACAAGTGTGTGTTAGCATTACAAGAAGGAGATGCCGATACATTAGATCGTACAGCTGGAGCGATTCGTGGCAGATCATCAAGAGTATGCAATGTGGTAGAAGCAGAAATGCAGAATTATGAACCAGGTCTTTATACCGAGCAAGTCAGAGATGCTGTCATTGTACTAAGAGATCAAGGTATGACCAAATAATAATAATTTTAACAAGCACAGCAGTGTCTTGTATAAACTAAAAATGTTGTCGCTATTGTACACCAGTGCTGGATGTGAGAATCCCCCAACCGGTAATTGCACTCTTGCCCAAGTGTCACAATCTGTACACCTGGGTGTGTTTGGTATGGGGGCCATGCATTGTATGCAGAACAGTAGCTTGCTTAGACATAATTTTATAATTGGTGAATGTCTACGTGTAGTGTTCATCATTGTGTACTTTTTAATTGCCTGCAAGAAAATTTTAGACCTACTTTTACAAATACTAATATCACACCCTTGTGTCTAAGTACCTTGCATACTTGCTTGCAAAACATTCTGATTTTTGAAACCATGGATTTCTGATTAACACAACGCTGACATCATTTGGCTATCATTGGAGACTTTCACAAATAAAACATTTGTTGTTTACATAAAATTTGTTTTTGTTTTCTTAGTTATGCCTCATTTTGCGGAGCGTGTTGAAGTAGCAGTCGAAGCATTAAGTAGCAACCCACCACAAGATACTGATGAAAATGAATTTATTGATGCCTCAAGGATGGTCTATGATGGCGTTAGAGACATCAGGAGAGCTGTCCTCATGAACAGGGTGAGTTTATAGTTTTACAGGGTAGCCATTCATTCTAATTATGGTGAAATGTGTTTTTCTTTTTGATAAGAGGAAGTAGAGTTGATTGATATATTATTTACAGAACAAATGCAATAATTCAGCCATGACACCATTAGTGTCAGCCAGCCCCTATAAACAAGTCATATCAGGTGACACCTCTTTATTTCCACTGTCACCCATCAGCATCAACTTTCAACTTCTTTAAAAACTGTACTTCACTGGCTTTGATGCTTGGTGTATATGTACCTTGTGTGAACCTCACAGATTTGTGAGCCTGATTGCTTTGATATATTATATGTAGATACCTCGAGTGGACCTTAGTCAGATTTGTTCACTTTGAGACAATGTCTTCAATTCTCTAATTTTAATGAATGATTTGTCATTTTTGGTAAAAAATGGTATTTTCTACTTATGGCTAACCCAATTGTTTATATATTTTAAATTTCTGACAGATTTGTTCATTCTGTGATGATAAATTTAATTTACTAATTTTAGTGAATATATTTGGTAAAAAAAGCCATTTTCAACTGTACTAGCTGACAGGCTGCTTGTTGATCACATAACTGCTTGTACCCACAATTTTGTATGCATGAACATACACTACTACATCCTAGTAATAGTCAAATTATTTTTTTGTGTAGACTATAGATGATTTGGAAACTGATACAGAGTTTGAATATGAAGAAGAATATTATGATGACATTAAAAGCAAATGTAAGTATCACAATTCCTGGTAGGTCTGTTAGTGTTTGCCATGTTTCAATACTAAGGAGAAAATTTACATGTTTTGAAATGATTATATTACAACTGAGAAAAGGAGAATTATGTTTTATGTTCAGTACTCTGTGTTCATTATTGTTAGCTCCGCAGTTGACTTTGTCGAGCGAAGCTTATCATATGAGTGATTGTCCATCGTCCGTGTCAATGTTTTACTTTTTCGACTTCTTCTTGAAAACTACAAGCCTGAATGCTTTGATACTTTGTGTATATGTACCTTGGGTAGACCTCTCTTAGATTTGTTCATTTTATGATGATATCTTCAATTCTCTAATTTTGGTGAATATTTTTGTCATTTTTGGTAAAAAGTGATATTTTCGACTTCTTGTTAAAAATCGCAAGTCTAATTGCTTTGATATTGCATATATAGGTACTACATGTGAACCTCTCAGATTTGTTCATTTCGTGATGATAGCTTCAATTTTCTAATTTTAATGAATATTTTTGACATTTTTGTTGAAAACAGCAAGTGCGATTGCTTTGATAATATACATATTGTTCATTTTCTAATGATATCTTCAGTTCTTCAATTGAAATGTGCATTGCTAACAGCGGAGCTATCTAAGCCGACAGGCTGCTTGCTATAATTAGGTATGAAGACGTGACGTGACGTGGTCAGTCTTACATTTAACAAGGGTACAATAGATCATTTATCGTTCACTCTGAGATCATGTGTTATGTGTGAAATTAAACGTAAAAATGGTTTGTATTGTAGTGGTGCAAAATATCACCAGAGATTTGACAAACGTATTTTGGGAGGATTTTCATGCTTAATAATAAACATTTGATGATGGTCAATTTCAATGAAGTACATGTAAGTGTATCTCAATGCCATACTCTCCTCTGAAAGATTGACATTTCAACATTAAACTATAAAAAAAAAAAAAAAATCAAAAAAATCAAATCATTCTATTTGGGTGACATGCAGTTTGGACCCTTCATGCAATATGCAAGATCTCGATGAACATAGACTATAGTAAGAATGCCATGTTGTTCACTGTGGCTATCAATTTTAAGTTTGTCAGTCTGACAGGTCAGTCTGCCATTTAATTGTAGCTGTACATCAGTTGTTTTAACTATTAGTGTTTGTCATATTATATATTTTACAGCAAGTTACAAGACAGATGATGAAGATTATGGTACACTTCCTGGCAGGTTGACAGAAGATCAACTTGAAGGAAAGAGTGATAGGGTGAGTACGAGTTGAGTTTGTGCTGTTTCCTCGACATTAGCTGTTTTCAACAGCTTGCGCAAAACCAATAGAAATGCATACCACAGTGGTGCACATCTTAGCAACGTGGAACTTCTTGTGACGTAGCTCCCCCCTGAGATGGATTTCCCCCAACTTTATGGTTTGAAGTGGCCCAAGGTATTTTTTAATGGGCGGGCAATTTTGAATTCTGTAAAATTGTTTTAAATAATAATCTGATGTATAGCTAATTGTTGTATACAGTTGTATACATGACGCGGCACCTGTACAAGGACAACTACCACCCATTGAATGTTTAAAGCATATATTTATGTGAACTATAAAAGTATGTTTATACTGTAAACCATTTTGGACAGTGAAATACACAAAATTTTCCATCTCTTTACAGTTTGCTATAGCCATGAACAACTAAAACCAGATTACCTGATTAAAATTTCTATTTTGTAGTACTTACTGGTTGGTAAATTGAACATAAATAAATAGATCTTGTATCGGTAGTTTGCATTATTTATATCACTGACGGCAGTATTTGTTTTGTTTTAGTTTTTGATGAGACAGCTACCAGATGAAGAGAAACAAGCTATTCAAGAACAGATTTTAGTGTTTCGTGAAGAGAAAGAAAAACTGGAACGTGAAATGGCAAAATGGGATGATAGTAGTAATGACATCATTGTCATTTCCAAGCAGATGTGCATGATTATGATGGAAATGACCGATTTCACAAGGTTAGTTGTCATTTCAAGGTATTCAGTGGATAAATATAGCTGGCTGTAGAATATTTTGCAGTGAATGTTATTTTGATCACCATATCATGCATGCCATTTAGGAAGACTAACCCTCCACTCTCCTGACACTCTTGTAAATCAAGACCTCAATGAAAAAAATTTATCATTCTCACAATGGGCTATTTTCCATTCACTGCGAGATTGTGCGTTATGCATGAAATTGAATGTAAAAACAGGATCAACAAAGATTGTAGCGTTATAGTGATGTGAAAACATCGTGCAGGTTTTGACAGACGCGAAAGTATTTTAGGAGTATTTCCACGCTTCATAATGAGCTATACGCAATTATGATGAAATAAGGATATTTCAACACAATACTCTTCTTAAAGATCCAAATTTTGACAAATTCAATTCAAAATCAATTTTTTGTGACAGACGTTCGGACTACGAATATCACGCAATGATTGAAATCTTGCAGTAAACAGAAATTCACCTATTGAAATATTTGGAATAGGTTTTAAGCGTGCAGTTCCTCTCATCACTTGCGTCGCTGTTCAGTACACCCATTTCTAAAAGATATGGCAAATCAAATTCTGCTGGATTCAATTATAAGTCGATGCTGGAGTTTGGTGTGTATTTTACTTTATATCTGAAACCCACACTTTCTTGTAGTGTTTGTAGTATATACATCGTATTTGCTCCATTAGTAGAGCCCATATTCTAGGAGCACATACATACACCAATAATTATATTTATTGTATACTGAATCATCAAAATGTGAATCTATTTGAACAATTAAATTGAGCAAATATTGAATACAAGTCATGAAATACAAATGTTCGAGGGTTAGTGTAGAAAGAAAGCTGGCACCATGTTTAAGCTTGTAATGTAACAAATGTATATTGCAGAGGTCGTGGTCCATTGAAAACCTCTATGGATGTGATTGGTGCTGCTCAAAAGATTGCTGAACACGGCTCTAAGTTAGATAAATTATCAAGAAAAGTAGCTGACCAATGTCCTGACTCAACTTCAAAAGATGACCTGGTAGCTTACCTCCAGAGAATTGCTCTGTATTGTCACCAGTTGAACATATGTAGTAAAGTGAAAGCTGATGTACAGAGTGTCAGGTGGTGAACTTGTTGTTACTGGGGTAAGTATTCATGCATTTGCATAAAT